GTTTCTTCATAGCTCATTTCTCTTTATTTATATTTATTTATTAATACATATTATTATATTTATAATTGGCAGCCGAGATGGTTTGAGTCCAGGAAAGCCCTTATCTCATCCCAGAGCCTGTTGTCTGGCTTAACCAAATATAACAGGGAGAAAGCAGCTTCTTCCATATTGAAGATGTTTAGGAAGTCCTCCAGCCATCTATTTAAATTGAAGCAGTTGGGCTTTTGGGTATTTATTACAATCTAATTGTCCAACTACATACACTATACATAGATTTTATCTTAGAAAACTAGTATGTAGCTGTTCTTCAGCGCTGCCTATGACCACCAGGTCTGCTCCTGAGTCCCTCGCTTTAGAAAGGTGATAACAGGCAGAACTGAACATCCTCCGTCCTGCAGGACAAGATCTCCCTGAAAGAAACGATGACAGTTTATGAATCACTAAAGAGTTATTGCCAAAGGCCCAGTATTCAGAATTATACAGCCATATTTTGTACGCAGCATAAGGGAGTTTCCAATAAATACATTCACATTTCTAGATGTGGCTGCTTTGAGTTTAACGGTGAGTCTCTTTAACCTCACCATCTCACCCTTATCTTGTACACAGGAACTGGGGTTGTTAAGACGGTATGAACATGTTGTTGGTTTCATGTCATCCTGTCTGTAAATAAAGAAAAAAAAGACTTACTACTGTGCTGTTGTCTTTTTCCCTTTCGTTTTACGGTTGACCCTTTGAATATAGTTTGGCAGATAGTATTTTAATTTGCAGACATTAAGAGGGTGATGCCAAATCGTGATGCTGCTTTTGTTCACCTAACTGATCATTATGTGTACATGAGATAACAAGAACATTTAGAATTATTATAAATCAGTCTTCAGAACAAGAAATATACAAATATATAAAGAACTCATGAAAAGAAGGTGTCACAACTGTTGTTGAAAGTGTGAGTGCAAACCTGTTTAATATAGTGCAAACAACATGCCTGCTGCTTTAAAATCTACTCCCTTGATTCTTCCTGCATGCAAATCATTAGAGAAACAATGTCAGGAATCTGGTTATTTAGTATTTACGGTAGGTGACAAACATTTGGACCAAACTGAAATATGAAGACTTCAACACAAAGAGGCATTATCAAACACATGCGTATTTAAGACAAACAATACTCTATTTATATATTAGTGCAAATCAGACTAAATTCTTTATTGTTTTGCTTTTGGCACCAATATGTCATAAACTAAACCGTTACTGTTACGGCGATACCAGTCGGAGTACGGGCTGCGAACAGAATTAGGTTACACATTTGACAACAAAGCTGCTGATTGGAGATTCAAATTGCAGAACTGAAATTAATCATTACAATACAATACAATACAGCTTTATTTATAAAGCACTTTAAACCTCCAGACCAAAGTGCTGTACAGTCATATAAACAAAACAAAACATACACAAAAATAACACAGCACAGCTCACACACCATAAAACAAGTACAAGTAAAAACAATAGATCGTTTTTTCTGTCCTTTAAGTAGGATTCAAACCAATTAAGAACTGTTGCCGAAAGTCCCAACCAGTTTTCCAGTCGGTCTAGTAATATGTTGTGGTCAACAGTGTCAAATGCAGCACTGAGATCACATACAATAACACTTTTAAAGGCGTAAAACAAGTGCAGTGTAAAAGTATTAACAAATGTATTGGTAATTGAATGCATTTTATATAGCGCTTATCCAGTCTTCATAACTCCTTAAAGCATACTGTATATATATCTAGCATTCACACATATTCATACGCAGAGGCAGCCAAACAAAGTGCCATCTGCTTAACATTCTTTTAACATCATCTTGAAATTGATATTTAACGTGCCTGATTTCAAATAATAATAATTAGAATAATAACAATAATAGCAATGATAGTGATACTTATTATTTATTATATTTAAAATAATAATAACAACAAGGTTGCAGCTAGAAATTAGGCGGACAACGGTTCTCTTTCTTCACTCGTCACAACTTTATGGTGTTGTTCCACAACGAGTAAACCTAGAAGAAACACTTATTCTCTTGCCTACACTGCTCTGCTGATTCGTTCAATTGTACTACCGTTTCTTCTCTTGTTTACTCACACCCTGTGGCGAACACTAGCAACAACAACAACATTTCCAAATGAATAAAGCTTAGAACACAATGCTTTTTGCTTGATGTATGTTTCATGTGTTGTTTTAATAGAAAAGTGTGTTGGGACTAGCTTAATTGTAATTATGCACTGATTGATTGATAGATAATAATTTCATAATATTTTCTAAATTGTGTGTGAGAAATCTGCTTTCCTCCTAAATCGATAAGCAATATCTGTTTATTGAAATGCAATAACAACATATGTAAACTCAGCCATATTCATAAAAACAGCCATGCAGTGTCTGCTAATTAGAGAATATATATAGCATATGCTTTGTTTTGTGTAGAGAAGGTCGTTTGTGTTCAATATAAAAACATGTCAGTTATACTACATTTGTAGCTTACCTGAATGATGCCCATGAAACAGAACTGAAGTACACTTTTGTCCAAAAATGCACCGTCGAATAGACCCCGGTGCTTCAGATCTGTAAACATACAGATGTAGAACTCCATTGACTCCCTCCGGAGGAAACCCCACCAACTTTCCGATGTAACTGTCAATAGCAGAGCCGTCCTGTATATTGCGTCGGACAAAACGCTGAAAGTCCCTGACTTTAACGTTTTCTGTTCCCTTGTCGCCTCTCACAATCCTCGGACAACCTCCCAATTTCTCGACAGCCTCAATGTAGTAACCTCCAACGATTTTCGGTTCGCTGCTTGTGGTGAATGCATTCATCCAAATGATTTTTCTTGAAAATCCGTCAATGCAGCCGTTTATACAGATTCCAAATGGCTTCAATTTATCGTAGGAGTCTAAGTGCCAAATATAATTCGGTCCTTTGGCAAAATAGCTTCGGCGATGGAGACGTCTGGATGCTCTGAGTTCATCAACACCCCTTGGATCTAGTTCTTTGAGAATTAAACGTAGGCCTACATCTTCTTTTCTGACGAGTAATCCATACTCCTTGCATTTTGTGAACATCCACATATACCCATGAAGTTGGCCAGATGTTTGTAATTGTTCAGAGATGAAAGTAATTACTGTCTCAAAACTGGAGTATTTCTTGCGCCGGGACAGACGACTAGACTTCAAAATCCGTTTTAAATGCCGTTCGGAAAGAATGTAACGGTGACGACGTGCAAGCAGGAACGTAATGTCCTTATAAGGAAGTCCGAGATTAAAATATACTTGAATTAAACTTTCCACTGTCATTTCAAAACGTATACATACAAGTCTGCATTGAAATGTTGGTCTACTGTGTGCTGCACTTCCTCCTTGGCGCACTGGTTAATAGGAAGTGGATTCAAAAATAAAGTCAGGATAACGGATTAGTTTCGCGTAAGCACGAGAAAGGAACCCGTTTTCTTGACTTTATTTTTTTTCTCATATATTTTTTTTCTGTCCCTTAAACCGTTATCCTGACTTTTTTTAAAGATACTTTCTCGTGCGCACGCGAAACATTCGCTTGCGCACGAGATACAAACCCGTTATCCTGACTTTTTTTTTTCTCTCCCTGTTTTTATTTCTTTCTTCCCATGTCCCTTTAGGGGCTCCGTAGATGTTTCATTTGTATAAGCACTTTTTTAATTGGGTTGCTTAGGCCATTAACTATTAGTGAAATTATATTAATGTTCATAGTTTAAATCTGGTGAAACACTGGAAGCAGCTAAATCAGACACAAATGCTTTACTGTGTTGTAACAACTCTCCTTTATACATAGTTCTCCAACCACTTCTCAAAAATGCACCTTGTAGAGCTTCTAAACCTGTGTACATAATTTGTATCTCCTTTCTTGTGTTTTCCAACAGTGTATCCATACTCAACCCTGTACGGGTAAACTCAAAATAATGATAACACATATGACAACAGAAAAAGAGAAAAAAGAGTGCGACATGGATCCTAGGGTCTGCTAAGACCCAGAGCGGCAAGGTCTTAAAAACAGCCGTATACAATTATTTCCTCTAGACAGTTTGAAATATGTATAGTCCTAGCAACTGTACCAGATAATTATCTATCTATCTATCTCAAAGATATAAGGACATGTTTGTTTTTTTCTCACGCTGAGAGTCAAGACAAATTCAAATAAGCTTTATTGACATGCCCACATTTAAAACATACAAAGCAAATTGACAATACAGATTTAAGACTGAAACAAGTGAGATAATCAAGTCCATTGTGTTCAATAGAGACATATCATCTTACAAAGTCATACAGATGATTAACATTCTGAATGTATTGATCCTGGATAGATCTGTTTTACTGGTCAATAAAAAGAGAATAGCATGACATTGTTGTGAAAGCAGAGATCTTCATTTTAAATGCTGATAAACACAAATGTCTGTCCTCTGAAGTACTCTGTCTGCCGCTGATCATAAATATAAAAAGTGCACATCATTTCAAAGATAACTTTCAGGGAGGAGTTGATCACTTTGAGAAAAAAAGGTGAAGTGGTAAAGCTGCTTTTTATCTGATAACAGCAATTTGTTGAAGTGGAAGAGCTTTATCTTGTAACACACCCACAATATACTTTTACGGTTTTTATCTTTGTATGCATGCTCAAAGAAAGTTCCATTTCCTGATCTAGCTAAATCTAATTTGCCCATTTACTAAAGTTCTGTAATTAACTTCAAATAAAAGGCAGTTTACTTTTTAAATGAAACATGAGCAAATCCTGATGTTAAAGTCCCAGATTATTATTGTGATAAACATACATACATGTTTGTATTTATTTACAGCACTAGTTCTTACTGTATGTACAAAGTGGCTGGTACCTATGAATGTTAAATACCTGCAATAGATTTGTACTCACATGGCCACAAGATGTCTGTTAGGAAACATACTGTATAAACACACGTTAGACCAATGCTGAGACTAGAGCATTGCTGTGTCTGAATTATTCATTAATGTTTGACAGTTTCTTATTTGTATCATATTCTGCTCAATAAGGCACCTTCAATATTATAACTTTCAGGAACTGTGGGCTTCCAAGCAGATGTTTTTAATAAGCTGTTTTTTGTTGATATGTAAAATGATTAATACAATTACTAATTCAATTGAGGCAAACAAAAGTTGGCCAAAACAAATTAAATGACTATTTATTTATAACTGATTGTAATCAACAACAAAAAAACACTAAAAAAAAATGTGATTTACCAATTCGAGCAAAGTCATTCTTATTCATGAAATCAGACATTGTGTATAGTTTTAAATAACTCGATTTAAACTCAATTGTAAAAGCATGATTGCATGTTTAGTATCCAAACAGACACCAATGTTAAGCTTCTTTCTCACAGATCCAAAGCAGATCGAACTCACAGGACCGGTCGTTCCACCTTTTGGTGTAAACAATACGTATTTCTGCACAGTCCTCTTCGCCTGGATACCCTCCTCTATTATCAGGCTGTCCAGTGCTCCAAAACCTAACAGGTATTACAGGAAAACAAGATTAACTAAAAGATGGACATCAAATACAAATAACTATAAGTAATAGAGCCATGTTCTTTTCTTAATACCCAAATGAGTCTTCTGGTGAAATGGGCAGACACCCTACGTTTAAATGCATCCTGTGTGTTGTGTGAACTCCCATCACAGAAACATGTGAAACATTTAGAAAGGTCAAAACATAAACCAGCGTCTGTATTTAAAACCAAAGTAAAGCCTTACGTCAGATTCAGTGGAGATCCATCCACCCATTTCCAGGTCCCCTCCTTTTCTGTGTCATTCAAACCAATCCAAGTGTCTTCCTTGATCACGCTATTGATGAATTCCTGTTCACATATTAAAAATGCAGTTTACTGGGATGGACATCAACATTCAGATAACTTTTCCCTTTTTACTAGCTCAGAAATATGTAATTAACACCATTGTTGTGACGTAATCATTATAGCTGATAGACAGATTTGCTAGTATATGTACAATACAAACGTTATTGATTGATAAAAGCAGGGGGTTTTACAATCACAAGTGTTAAAGCAGCACACATTACCTGTTCTTCATAACTGTCTACGATCACCAGATCTGTTCCTCCGGCTCTGCAGTTTTGTCTGCTTTGTTGCCAAGAAGCTTTCTCCGTAGAGAGGAGATAAAAGGAACAACCAAACTTCCTCCATCCTGCAGGACACGTTTTAAGATCTTGTTGATTTACTGCTTTAACTGCTGAAATATGGAACTCTTGAGTGCATTATATGTCATTTTTGTAATAATAATGAAAAAACATATGTATTAAGCATTTTTAGAGCGATCAAAAGAGATCACACATTTCATTGCAGAACAACTACTTCTCTTTTTTTGGGATTTAAATAACTGTTTCGATGTGATCTAGTCAGGCACCACAGCACTGAGATTGATCTTGTTAAAGTCTTCAATGACATCCACTTAAACACAGACAGTGGCAACATTTCGGTGTTAGTTACTAGACGGACTGGAATACTGGGTCTGACTTTCGGCAACAGTTCTAAATTGGTTTGAAACCTTGTTATCCTTTATTATTATTATGCTGCAAATATCTGGAACAAACTACCTCTAAGTTCTTCTTCCTATTGCTTATATTAAAAGTAATTTAGACAAGGAAAATGGCCATAAGCATAGTTTACAGAGAAATATAAATATTGTGGTCTACACAAGTGTATGGGGCATGATGGTGGGTGAATAAAAATAAAACAAACTATAAATCAAATCCTTAGACTATCAATATCGTGGTATTTTGTAAAAAATATTATGATAATATTTATCTTACAGTACATACACCGAGCCCTATGCAAACCCCCACATGAAGCACTCACCCTTGCCCATCAAACACTGAAGCTTGTCCACCTCTCTGGTCTTTTCAGTGAGGTTGGCCTTCAGCTGGTTGATCAGCTGATCGCTGGCCTGGAGATGCTCAGTCAGGTTTGCTTTGACAGTGGAGAGATCTGCAGCTGCACCACCTACTGAGTTATGGTCTGAAATGAAAATAGATGTTTCTTAAATGACCTGATGCAATCATACTGACACAAACCAAAGTCAATGTTTTCCTAATTTGGCCCTTTGAGAAAAGTAGAAAACGATGTTTTGGTCAAATGTGCATCTTTCAGAGCAGAATATTGCTCTTGAAAATCACACGTTCAAAATGACATTATTAAACGTATTAAAAGAAAGACTCACAGTGGACGGCGAGGCCGATGAGTCCAGCCAGCAGGAAAACACTCAGCAGCCCCAGACCGAGAACAGAAGCTCTGAGAAATCTCCTGGGACCTGAACACAGAGAAGACCAGTGAGTATAATACATCCAAAATCCACAGTGCACTCTGACTGACTGACCCTCTTACCATCTTGTATTGTTGATGATCTTGAAATAAGGCAGTGGTTCTCAAAGTGGGGGGCGCGCACCCCCTGGGGGGCGCAGAGGCATGCCAGGGGGGGCACGAGAGACCAGGAGGAAAAATGGTTATACATTTTTTTTTTTATATCATAATTTGAAAAATTATTGATTCGAAAATAATATGATACAGTACTATTACGTCTGGGTCTCTGTGTTTCATTGAAGCTCGGCTCTGTGTGTGTGTGGAACGAGCCATTTTGTGTGCGTGCGCGAGAGAGAGAGAGAGCGCACCGGTACCGGAGATCGTTGTTGTTAGCTTCTGGTGCTAGCGAGCTACGCTAACGGATATAAGGAGTTTTTTCAACAACAAGGTGGAGGAGAGTCCTCTCCTGTCAGACTGAGAGGCTCAGTGAGCTAAAGGACTCTCAGTGTTATCTCAGTGGGTCTCAAATGTTTTGGTCACCATTAATGTAAACAATTATTTCTGAGGCACACATTTATATGATCATTATAGTTATAAAAGAATAAATTAAAAACAGCTATGACACACTATATGACAGTAAAACAATAATAAAGTTTAAAAGGGTGATTTGTAAAATATCCATAAAGAAAAAGTAAATCTGTTTACAGTTCTGTTTCAAATGGGTGTTGAGAGATGTATCCATAGATCTCTTCATTTTGCTCTCAAAGTGCACCAGATTGATGCATTTAACTTCAAGATTGAAATAAAGATCTTCCCGGGGGAGCTTGCCCCCGGACCCCCATATGTTAGGTCCACACACCACCTATAAAAATAGCACTTTACCCCTGCTTACACCTATATGCCGTGAGCTGATTATCGAGCCTTCATTGTAACAGTTGCGGGAACACTGTGTATATGCGTGTGGGGAGTGTTGCAGTAGAAAGTTCCACTGTAGCGCCCGGTACATTAATGGGAAACCCTAAATGTTTGAGCACCCTCTATGAAACGTCAAGCTACCCCACAGCACCCCCAAAATAAATCTCTGGCGCCGCCACTGAGCCTGACTATTTGTGTTGGGGGGGCCCAACTTTTTTTTTTCTCCAAAGAAAAAGTTTGAGAACCACTGAGCTAAGGGGTTTGATATCGTCAACATTGACATAGATTTCCTCCATTACTCATGGGAATGCCAACAATTTCCTAGAAGGTCAGCTCTGCAGCAATTATCCTGAAGTATATGACGGGGGAAAGTGTGGTTGCTGGTTTAAATTTCTAAATGCTTTATCTTTTTGAGGAAGTCACACATAATTTGAGGAAGTCACACATCATTTTCATATCCATCCAAAAAAAAACAAGACTATAAGGAAATACTGTTTATTTCTCAAACTGAGAGTCAAGACAAATTCACATACGCTTTATTGATATGACTATATAAAAAACATACTATTGCCAAAGCACATTGACAATACAGATTTAAGACTGAAACAATTGTGATAATCATGTCCATTGTGTTAAATAGAGACATATAATCTTACAATTTAAGATTACCATTACCATGGATTACCATCCATTAAAATGAATAATATTCAAAATATTCTGTTCCTGTAAAGATCTATTTTACTGGTTAATAAAAAGAGAATAGCATGTCATCATTGTGAAAGCAGCTACAAATGTTTCTTGGCATGAAAATCTGGCTCTCTTGATGGCACAAGGCACAAGACGAACCGGCACAAGACAAAGGGAGACGAGGACTGTATATACACACGAGGTAATGGGACAAAGGTGGCAACAATCAAGGGAGGGGCTGACAATAACACGGGGAGGAAGACACACAAGTGCAGGAGAGCTCTGAAACGAGTACAAAAGAAAACAGGAAGTGCAATGACAGGACTAGACAGGTGAACAAAGAGACTTGACTAAACATAAATCTAACCTGGGCTATGAACTAAACATGAAACATATAACATGAACCTGATTTACTAACTTAACATGAATACATTAGCAGACATGACGGGATGTTACAGTCTGACTGACACACTTACCTTCTTGTTTTGCAGATGATCTTCTTGAGTTTAGGGGTTTGACACCTTCAACATTGACATAGATTTCCTCCATCACTCATGGGAATGTCAAGTATTTCCTAGAAGGTCAGCTCTACAGCAGTTACACTGAAGTATGTGACCAAGGAAGACTTGTTGTTTTCATTTCTTAACACTTTATCTTTTTGAGGAAGTCACTCCCCCACTAAGGGTTACAATTAGCTTCTTAAGAATCCTGTACCAGACAATGATCACACACACCATATTAAAGTAACAGTATATCTATCCATCTATCCATCTATCCATCTATCCATCTATCCATCTATCCATCTATCTATCTATCTATCTATAATTCCTTTTAAAATTTTAAACTACTTTGACGTAGATTAGTAATACAGTACGTACAATTTATCAATTGTGCAGAAAGGTTCTTTTCACAGTAGTAAAAACGTCAAGTCATTTGGTTACTTGTCCCTTTTTTTTTTAACATAGGAAGTTACAAGTATCAGAGTGCGTGAATATATCCTCTACAAAACCCATCCACCAATTCATGTCTAAAAGGGGCCTGGGCTGTTATGCTTGTTGGGGTTTCCCTTCCCTAGTGTGTTATATAGGTTTTTATGCATGTAAATTGACTCAAAGGCTAACATCCCAATGTTCCTTCCAGAGTGAGTTTCTTTATCAAACAGCCCCCCAGCAGTACAATAAGTAGCTTTCTTTAATTGCATATGATGGTCATGAGCACGTGTAAAGCACATCAATAAAGATACGTGCTGTTACGTGCCAGGCAGGCTGTACTTGTGTGGTTTTCCTTCCCTCCTGTGTTTCTCTCTTCTCCCTGTATTCTGCACAGCTAATCAGCAGCTGATCGGTATCTGCCTGTGCACCTGAGTCTGATGGCTCATGGAAGCACGGCATTCGTTTGTGTCGGCTGCCCTTAAAGGCAATGTGAGCGTCCATTCCCATTGGATAACGGAGAATTGTACACCCGGAAGTAAGTATTCCACTTACTGTCGATTGATTTTACAGTGATATCTGCACTACTCATCGACTAAAAAACACAAGATTATCCTTGTTAATTACACAACATTCATTGGTTTAAATTGTGTACAATGCTTTTGTATTTTTCCTCTTCGATTCGGAGAAACAAATATTTTTTCTGAGTAAAGGATGGCAGAAGACACTACACTACCCAGAATCCCCAGCTATCGTTTGGACTACACCATGTGGTCTGTTTGACAAACCCCGTTTTTTTTCACCATTCATTTCCAATGGCTGGCGTCTATGTCACGTGATCTTCAAATTTCTCCCTGCAGAAAAGAAAACATGGCCGAACTTCGTTTTATTCTCGATGGAAAATGCCTATTTTAAAGTTAGTTTGGCCATTAAAATGCGTTTTGATGTAATTTGATGCGAGAAATATGAGTTGTTATTTCAGATTATGTGTGCAGTGGATGTCCATGATCTTTAGTTTGCTAGTTATTACGAAGATTACTTCAGGAAATCGCGACGTTTTCATTGTTACCAAGGTGGTTGCTAGGGACGCTGCTATCGATATTATTTCTGTTATGTTGTGTAACTGTTTAATAGTGTTATCTTTATTGCTACCCCCTTCCCCGTCAATGTATAGTGTTGGTCCACAGCGCAAACATATTAGTTTAACAAAATCCGCATCTAAAGATAACCTACGTTATTTTCCCCTGTGCAATTCCAGTCTCACATCTCACAGCACATCGTCATTAACAAATGCCGGAAACAGACCGAAAACATTTAAAAAAAATAAAAATAATACTTTATTCCGAGTGTGCTTGCTTTTCTCTTTGAAAGTCATCACATAACGGCATTGTAATACACGGTTCGGCTGCATTAAATATTACATATCTGCTGTAGTTCTGTATTTATAGAGCCCTGATGAGAAGACTTCTAGACAAACATGAGGAACTGAAAACGTGACGTGGATCATAAATATATCAGCCATTAACCTGTTAAGCCCGAAGGTCCCCGCCGGCGGGGACCCTGGGTCTTTTTTTCACGATACTGTGTCTCAGGGGATCTTAATATTTAAGAACCTATTAATGTGTTATACCAGATTAACGGAAATAATCTCAGCTAACTGCCGATACAAACCATGTTTACCAAAACAAAACACAAGTCTCACAAGAAGCATCTAAATTACCCCTGAGCGAAAAATGCTAACGGACATTGGCACAGAACTCAAGATAAAAGTACCCTTATTACTTATCATAGCTGCACATACAATATATCCGATTAAAGCTGAGACTCCATAGATTATGTAGGTATATAGTATCATCACTGAGTGATCCGGACTCGCGACAGAGCAAATACAGTCATCACAACACGTACCTTTACGAAGCTTCTAGGGAGATCGTCTCACAAGCAGGGGCGGCGCCAGGGGGTGCTGAAGCACCCCCCAGGATTGCCAAAGCACCCCCTAAGCACCCCCAAGAAATATGTGTTTTTTTCTTTTTTCGAAAATTATTATTATTATTTTTATTAAATTAAATTAGAAATATTATTGATTACATCAATGCATATGTGAAACAAACACATTTTTTACCAAAAACATAAAGCCAACACAGGTGATATGATTAGGCCAATGGCCAGCACCCATTCGATTTTTGACCTACCCATAGGTTAAATTACTTTGTGACACTTGGGTGACTTCC